GCTTGGGATGGGCTTTGGTACAAATCCCAAATGAGGCTCAAACATGTGTCTGATTCAGCAGCAGGAAACCTTAATCATGTCACTATCACCCCACTGGGAGTGGCTTAATATGCCTATCAAAACTGGTTTTGAATCAAGACAGCAGGGCATCTTGGAAATAGATGCATAGTTTTTTAATTTAATTTAAAAGTAATATGCTGTAATAAACAATTGAACAAGCAGAGGTATTTATTTCTTCCTCAGCCTTATTCACACATTCAAAAGTCCTCATATAAAGGCTAGAGAATGTGCAAATAATACAACTTTAATCTGCATTGTATAGCTCAATCCACAGTATACAGCACTTTCTGCTTACTGTTAGCAAAACACAAGGCTGAGAATAGTAACTGCAGAAATGAAAAATCACCACCCAAATTCTGTCTCAGCCATTCTTGGGTTGTATGAAAGAGGAGGTATGCATAAATATGCTGGATGAAACACTGATTAAAGAGAAGGATGCTGTAACAATTGCAACAAAATCTGTAAAATAGTTAAGATCTCCTAATTACAGATGCTCAGCAAGCACCGTCATACTTACTGCATCCTGATACTAGAGTAGATACTAGTAGTAGAGTAACAGACCATTAACACACACAGAGATCTACAGCTTTTGTCTGGTTTTGAAACTACTCGGTGATGTATCCAGAGTAGATGATCTCAGATGGTGGTTCTCAAGCAACTGTGCAGAGATAAGCTGTTAGGCCAGATACCAGTTCACTGAAATAACTATCTTGCAGGACAGAGATTTTGCTGATAGTAACGATCACCTTTTTTCTTTAATACTAGCAAAGATTCCTCACCTTTAAATCTCAAACTCACCGTCAGTAGCAGTTGCTAAAGTCTTAAAAGTCTGGACACTAGCGGCACTCTGGTGGATAATATATTGCTTTTAAAATCCATACAAAATTAGAAAAGTGTAACTTCTAAACTTTATGAATTAAACATGAAGGCACTTCTTGGCAGTCAGCTGTGCATATAGTTGTTGCTAGAGGACACGAATTAGTTAAAAGTACAACTGAGAGACCTTAACAATAATTTATTATGCATGGACTGAAGTAATTAAAACATACATTAGGGTGCTACGAAACTGATCATGAATGGTTCTTCATGAGACTGGCTTTTTGTGAAGTAATTCTTCTGATGTGCATGTTTCATTGATTTGTTCTAATTTACGTCAGTCCAAAATACCAAGCAAGAGTAAACACTCAGGAAATAATGCAGCAGCTGCATCCACACTGATCAAATATCTTCAATAATTGCCTACGACTGATTTCTTTTCATTAACTCCTCAATATTAAGGTTGGTTGGTAGGTTCTTTAAATGATTATCTGATGAACAGGTGCAAAGAATAGTATCATTAAAAATACTTCTTTAAAAAGATCATGGTTTCACAGCAAACATTTAAAAACATATGTAACTGCATATTAGGTGTAACTGAAAGGGTGTGAGATTTAACCAGTCTTGATGTGCTCAGCAATATAAAAACCATCTTCTTATGAAGGAAGAACCTGCTGTGATCAAAACAGTAACACTGTTCAAGCTCCATCTGAAGGCAGATATTGCTGCTTTGGGTAGGAGAGTATTTGTTATCTGCGTCCTAGAAATCCCGACTGTCGATTTGCCACACGTGTACAGGATGCACAACAGGCTGTTTTGTAGTAGGTGTAAACACACAGCCGAGCCTGAACAACCACATTGCAGTTGTAGTATTTGTCTTTACAGTTCTCATCTGTGGAAAGAAAAAAAAAAGGAGAAGAAACTGAAAAATACAACTTTAGAGCAACAAGTAACCAAAATCTTAACAACAACAACAATATAAAAACAAATTTTTATTAATACTTGTCTCTTCCTTTCCCTAGTTATTCTTATGCTATTAAAATCAAGTCTGCATGAGAAAAACGACAAATTTTCATGCTTAATTACAATGCTCGGTACGTGAATGTTTTCCAAAAAAATGTTGAGGCCATATTGGAATTTCAAAAATCAAGAAAAGTAATTTTTTGCTATTTATGTTTTTATATAGAATATATTATATATTTCAAGGCAAACATTTTAATCAGAAATTAAAACCTTTTTTTTTCCCCACACCTCAGAGCAGAGCTATATTTTGTGTAAAAACAAGCACCTGAACTTAAAAAACAAATTAAATTCCCAGAACTTCTACATGATTATTAAATATTTTCTCCACTAGATGGAGTTCCTTAGTTAAAAGAAGTTTCTCCTCATTCCTTACCTATTTCTGGGATACAATCTTGTGTGTTACATGGTTCTTTTTCTTCAGGTTTAAGCTGTGGATCACACTGAGTACTGGGTGTCATGTCATCTGACAGACATCGCACCTCTCGAACCCGGAATCCTCCTTCACAGGATTTGGAACACTGAAACACATAGTTCAGTCTTATGAAGATGGTATGAGATGTGCAAATAAAGAAAGACGTAACAGCAACCTTAAAGTCAGATCCAAATATCACCATAGGCTTTTATCATCTTTAATGCTTTTTTTGTTGCTTGTTCTCTAACTATAAAGTCCTTAACATTCAGGTGTAATTTGCATTAAAGGCTCAGAAACATTCTTGTACCTCTCAGATCTTATTTGTATCTCTCAAGCTCTCAGACTGACCCTTTCCACGTTGTTTACTTTTCTTCTGCACTGAGCTTATTTCAGTACTTGAAGGCACTGGCCTCTGCTACTCTTTCAACTCCATCTACATGCAATCAGGAAAAATTTAAACTGCATTTTCTCTAATGCTCAATTCCTTTTCACTTCTTGCAGCACAGTAGTTTTGCTAAGCATTACAAGCTTCTCTGCATTTCTGAAGAAAATATTTCTGTGTTCCTCCAAAATCTGCTCTGATGCTAGAGACTTCTGTACTTGCTAGATGTGGTATTTCCAAAGCCGATTACTGAACATCTTTGCCCATATTGAATCAGATCCTTTCTTGCCTTCAGGAATTTTTGTCTGCATGAGGTCTTTCAGATTTGGCTCACTTTATCCAGTTCGACCTTGCAAATTTTCTTAAACTCGGGTCATTTATAATGATTAAGGTTTTAATAGTCCAAAACCAGTCAGATAGAGATTCACATTTAAAAATGTTTTGGCTAATGGAAATGTATTTAATCTAATGCCTCAGTAAAGAAGGCAGAGAATTTTCAGCAACAACAAAGGAGATAAACAAATCTACCTGGCTTTATCATGAGCCTAATTTGGATCTTTGTTTTCAAATAAATATCTATATCTGTGATTAAGGGAGAAAAATCAGGATTCTCTTTGGCTGATTTACGGTAAAAAGTATTTTGTCTTTTTTTCTGCTTTGTGGTGCTGCCATGATGCCAGTGAAATAACAGAGCACGTTCTGAAAGTGGGAAAAACAAAGTAACTGCTATCTTTCCTGTCATGTGGATGAAGGATTTTCAAAGGTTCCTGACAAAGGGAACTCAAGCTGGGAGGATTTGAGGGGTTTCCACATTCAGAGCTGTCATTCTGAATTTGAGTTAAGGCTCAAGGAAAGGAGTAAGTTGCTGCAGTTAATAAAATGTCATCTAAATATGTTTTAACACCATTTTTCATTCTGAGAAGATACTGGACTTTCTGATTTTCAATTAGGATCTAGAAATGTTGGTAAGACAGGTAAAACCAAAGCCACTTGTGGGACTGGCGAATACAGCTAGTCTGCTTCCCGTAGAAACTGGAAATACACAGAGCTCTACTGTTGCTAAAGGTCTAAATGCCATGGTAAAGATAATATTGCCTTAAAAACTAAATACATCCATCATTTTTTATTAAATGCTCCTTAATTTATTGAAATCAGAAAAGAATCWTTTAATGCACTACATACCATCATTACGGAACAAATCAAGTTCGTAAAACAGGAAGGCCCATCGAAGAAACCAGTGATGAAGAGACAGCTATGCTGTTTCCTTCTGTTCAAGAYACCACCCAACTTTCCTAAGCTTCAGCAGGCACTGCAGAGCAYGCTTTCTTTTCACTATCATTCTTGTGCAAAACTAAGTCTTATTTCATTATCCAAATAGTGGAGAAATAAGGAAAAAATAGAAAAAGATGTATCAAAATTAAATATAGAAAAGTCTGATGGACTTACCGTGCTCCATTCTGTATGAAACCACTTTGCACCACAGGGTTTGAGGTGGCAGGATTGCTGACTGGGAGGTCTTTCCAAATATGAACATTCATGAGGGTTCAACACATCAAAATTACCTTCCGTTTTCCTAATACAAATGACTTCTCTCTGCTGAGTCCCACTGCCGCATTCAGTAGAACACTGCATCAGAGAACAAAAAGAGGAGGATCAGTCTACATATGTCTTGTTTCCAAAGTAATGTGCTTCTCCACAAGTTATCTGTCTCTGAAATAAAACATATACACATTCATATATTTGCAGTTTAAATAGTATTTATTTAATACTTTATGTGGTATGTATTTATTAAATAAAATGTATTTATTTAATAATTTATGTGGAAAAGAACTTCCACAGCTTGTTTATACTTGCAATTCTTGGACACAAGTCTAGCCTCCAACACTCAGAAGCCAGTTCTTTTTTTTCTAGGTTCTTTCCTCAGTMAACTGAATGTAACTATATCTTTCCTTCTGCCTCTGCAAACAGGCAGCTTAATCTCCTGCTTATACTGATTGCCAGCATATTTCATGCAGGACAGGCCTCAGTTCACCAACTCACTGAAGCACCAGCTTTCCTTCAAGCCTCTGAATATTCTCACTAAAGTCAACATTGAAGTGTTTTGCTGCATGAGGACTGTTAACAGTGTTTGCAGGAGGTTTTAGCTGTGCAAGAACTGACCTGGTCAAGCCGTACAAGTCCTGTCTTGCTCAGCATGTTTAACTCAGTAACAACTCACAAAAGATTTACATAATGGGCAACCCATGACAATCTTCAAGTAAACTAGACTGACTTAYAACAATAACCCCTCCACCAGACCTTAGAGTTGCCATGATGTAGCGTTCTGCACTTCTGCTCTTAACRGAAACATTAAGTAGTACTTTTGTCCTATCAGAATCCTACAAATAAACCTCTTTATACATTTAAAATATTCTAGAGACATTTCAATGCCATTATTTCAACTAATCATAAGTGGAAAAAGGAAACAAAAGACTTTCAAAGTGTCTCTTTAAAATAACTCGTATGATATGGAATCAGATTCAATAAACACACCTATTTTTCTTATATGCAATAGTAAAAATCCAACATTACATACTAAGAGTGGCAGAAATGCCGCCATAAATATGCAACCTAGAGTCCCTCTGACTTTTAGCGAGCCTTAATGKTGACTCACCATCAAATTTTGCAATGCTTTAGCACAGGTATAGCTATTTAGCATTTGTACTCTGAAAATATGTTCCTAGTTAGTGATCCCATCTAACTAGATACTAATTGAAAAGAACTAGTCAAGTAGTGATGAAACGTTAATACATATCGAATCTTGGGAGAAATYAATAATAATAATAAAAATTAAATGGCCCCAAGTTGAGATAAAAATTGCATGCATCTGAATGGAACATTCTGGAAGCATTTTATGCTGTCTGCAGAAAGGTGAGACAGCTCTGTTTAAAATCAAATTTGAATTCAGAGTACAAAGTCTGAGCAAATGTTACAAAACCTATTTTCAGAAAAGATATTCTAACTAAAACCATGGTAATACTATTTGCAAACTTCTGCTAGCTCTAAATTTCATAGCTGTAGTTTAATCCTTTGTAATTGATCTCATCCATACTACCTAGGGGACAGTTTCTTGGTATTTATAGAAAAATGAAAGTCTCTCACTGCCTGATAAAACAGACTTGGATAACGGTTATCACAAGGGTAAGTACATTTTGCTCATAAAAAGAAATTTACAGGAAATATAGGCTTACGTGTTGAAGACAAAAAACCTAAAAACTTTCCCTAAGTCAAAATACCAATGCATGGGATTAAACTGCACTCCAACTGCACTGTCTTTGCACTCCAAAGCAGCCTTCCTGATTAATAGTCATAATGAATACTGTGTAAATTGAACCCTGCCAACCAGGTACAGATTTCTGCCATGTTCCATTGAAGAAAATATGTAAGGAGATAATCCTATATAAGGAAAACAAAAAATTAACAACGAATATCTTGTACTTATTTATTAGATTTCAGGATTCAATTCTGATTATAGTAAATTATCAGTAATCAGTGAATACAGATATAACAGCATTAGTCTGAGCAGTACATGAAGCGAAAGGCTTATCTATCACAATACAGCCCCAAAAGAACAAAGGAAATACTTTTAGCATATGGTACAGACTCTCATTCTCTACCTGCTGACTGGTAATATTTGATGTATCATCTGTATTTTAGATATGACTACACCAAATTTGTAGGTCTTAACCTCCATAGGTCTAGATAAGGTCTTAACAGGTCTTATCTTGGCTCATTCACACAAGACAGAAACAAGTGGAACCTGGAAGTTTGTGGACATGTTTCATTACCAAGTAATTTTTATTTATTTATATATATATATATATATATATACACACACACACACACACACACATATACACACATATATATAATATATATTTATTTTTTAAAAAGCATTAAATATTTTGTTCTCTGTGAAGGAGATAGCATGGGCTTGATATGGCATAAGCAAGTGACATACAGGCCAAAGCAGCTGAAATACTGCTCCATCTGTCACAAAACAGACAAAACTTTAACTCCGTTTTCCAGGCCCATCTGTCACAAAACAGACAAAACTTTAACTCCGTTTTCCAGGCATTAAGCTGATCAGGAGCACAGTAGTATATGTATGACTTGAGAAGAAAGGAAGAGGGAAGATACTCCTTAACTCTTTAAGTTGTTATCCCTCAGACACAGAATAGTAGGCAGGATAACCATTGAGTTACTGTTGTTATTCGCATATGGTACCAAAACAGTACCCAGGATGAACCCCTGTTAGGAATAAAGACAAGAAAATGCTGAAGTATATAGTAATAAATTTATCACATGAGTAGTGATTGTGTCAGGTATGGTATATTTGATTATGAATCTTAAAAATGGCTTCAATGGTAACAACTGTCCTGTTAATTTTTATTCTATATGGTATTACAGACTGAAAATGTATTTCTAATTATTGCTGCAAAGAAGAAATACGACTACAATGTGCATTCTTAGAGAAATCTAAAATTGTGGTTTTACTTGTATCTACAAAAAGAAACTGATTTTTATTTTTCTAACAAAAAGGGAACCAAGACTTACTTTCTCCATAAATAGTTTTACTGCTTCTGGCAGAAGCAGGATTATACACACTAAACCTCTGAGCATTATATAGGTTAGTGCACATTTCTGCAGCTTTCAAATCCCCACATTCTGAGCATTTTTTTGGAAACTGCCTGCATCTGCCAGTGTTCCTTTAATGTTTGCAAAGATTTGTGATGCAGTGCTCTGAAACCACTGTAGGAGTTCTGAAATGCAAATATGACTCAGATGGACTCTAACAGCCTGTTCAAGGGGTAAATACACACATAATACCCTTCCTGGAACTTTTAAAAGTGTTTTTAGAGGATGATGCCAGCAACATACTGGTTTCAATTTTTCATAAAATGCTATGATTTTTGAAAACTTATTCTAGCCTAAAACAATARAATGTTATTAAAAATAAGGATTTTGTTTGTATTTTGAGTAGAATTTGTGATCACTTAGATACTCACAGCCTTGAGACTAATGAGAAAACACAAGGCCTACTGAGAAAATCAATATAAAGTTCATCTAAAAGAGCACCTATGCTAGCTTAGATTTACAGCAGCAAGAACTTGAAACTATATGATTGCTGCTGCTAAAAGCTCTGGGCCAGTCCACTAGTGCATCCATATAAATTCTAAAGGAAAAAATGAAATTGTTTTTAACCTTTTTACAGCTCTGTCCCTGCTCTCTTTTAATGGTTCTAATGCTGATTATGGATGTGTAACATTTGGTGAGACGTTACCTCAACATTCAGCCTCTGCTCTAAGGCAGCTCAGTAGAGAAGGTCATTCCCCACTGCTCCCGGCTCTGCTCTACAGACACTGCCCTTTGGTAGCTGCATTCACAAGTCAGGATCCAGCTGGTAGACCAGACTTGTTAGACTCTTGTTTCAGTTACTATTCTGCAAATTTCTTTTCCCCTTGAGATCCATCAAATAAAATGCAATGCCATTCAAAGAATCCGCTTAGTTTAAAAGAAAAGTATTTCTTAAATGAAAGAAACTTTCTTAATCCACAGAATGGGGAGAGTTGTCATGACCCCATTGTAAGCTTCTCTTCACAGTGGCAAAAGTTCCTATTGCCCTGCATGGAGCAGCGTAAGTAGAAAAGCCTAGACCTAGTCTATTATTAAAATGGCAGCTACATTTTAAATCTGAATCTATTATAACTCTTTATACAAGTAGCTTCACTTACATTTGAAAGCCTTTGTGTAATAGGTGCCCTTTAATCCCCATCTCAGCTGTATTGGTCTAATTTCCAACTGCTTACTAGCTGGAACGATCTTGGAATCTGAAACGCAGTGAGTTAACAGCACAGGCAAGAGACTTTTCCCTAACACATGGATGAAATGCTAGTACCTATAGTCCAAAGGACTCTGTAGAATATACAATAAATGCTTAGGGTACCAGTTGACAACTTCTGAAATTCCTGGAGGCAGCAGTATCAGAAGAAGCAGTGAGCTRTGGAGCACTGTAAGAATTTATATTGGCCACTAACCACTTTTCACCTATCACTATGAAATTCAGCACAACAAAATTTAAGCCAACTTTCATTTTTAGCCACTGCTTTTATTTTCTCATACTCCATGCTTTGACTATGGCCTATATATGTATCCCTATGGGCATGCAGGATCTACAGAGGCTCAACTTCAAAAGTGTTCCCTTGAATATGCTAAGGAGCTTTCTGACATCTTTTCCTTTATAAGTAAACTTGGCCAGTACATGAGAAATAAAAATGAAGCTACAGAGGAAAAGAACAAAATCTCGTTTTAGTAAAGCTCTTCAGTACAACAGTGCAGATGAAGAAAAGTAGCTCAGTAAAACAGAAGCAACTTACCCAAATGTTCCACAAAGACACAGGCATACTTCAGGGCATGCATCTTCATGGTACAAAAAGACTTTTTTTTTTTTTTTTTTTTTTTAAATAAGAAGGTTCCATCAGAGAATAAATGTGTTGGAGGTGGGACTTACCTGAGTCCAGCTGCCAGCAAACCACTCCACTCTGCCGGCGCAGGGGCCGTTGTTGCAGGCCGTGGTTTCGGGGGGCCGGTTGTTGCCGCAGCCCTCCAGGGGCAGGCTGCTCACGTGGTTGGTCATGCAGACCACGGCACGCGTCCGCACGCCGTCCCCGCACTCCGCCGAGCACTGCGGGCACAGCACAAACACATCGCCCTTAGTCTGGCTCCCGGAGCAAGCAATGAAGTTAACTGAATTTATTCAAGAGTCATTTCTTTCTGCTTGTTACCCAGTGGGTAACAAGCCACTACCCAGCAGATCGTCTAACAGATTCATACTTTTGAACAGTTCACATATCCTGTCTGTGGACATGACACRCATGCAACTGTGCAGGATAAATCCCAGCAAGCATTAACCTTCCTGCTTTTATAGCTCAGTCATCAATCAACTTCATTGGCATATTCCTGATATTCCACCATTCYGGGTAGCATCAAACTTGCCATTTATTAAAAAAAAAAAAAAAACAACAAAAAGAAAAGAGAGAAGTGATTATGATACGACAAAAACTTTTTCACTTATTACTTCTTTCTTAATCTTCCTGTTCCTTTTCCTGTTTAAATGCATTTGACATTTCATGACTAGACTATTAAAATAAATAAAAAACATGTGCAGATTACTGAAAGATACGTATGYAATTGAATTTAAGTAATTACAAGCAATTATATTATATTACACATGCAAGGAAAACCACAAGTAAGAATGTGTTACAGAGAAGAAAATAGACTTGACTGACATGTAAGATTTTACTTTAACCATCAGATGTAGTTAGTTGGGAGCAGCGCTGCGTACTGCTTCCAGAATGAACAAAATATCCCTTGTGAATGAACAGGTAGCTCTGGAATGGGAAAGATTCAAAGGACAGGTAATGACACAGATGAGAAAGACTCCACACGCAGTAGCTGAACTGAGAACGAACGGAAGCTAGGACAAGGCCGTGGTTAAGCACAGGACTAACGGACACACTCATCTTCGCAAGAGACCCATGACTGAATGTGCAACTGGTTGGAAACTGCCCTCCATCCAGCCCCGGTGATGAATATTGCTTGCACATGACTTATTCCTCTATCTGAAAGTTGAAATTATGCCTCTGAKTAATATAATGAACCTAATCTTCTTTCATTGGTGCAGAATAAAATTTTCCAGTCGCTTTATCTAACAGGCAGACTAATCTCCTCAGCACATTGCATTTGATGGTCAACGAAGTCTTCTCAAGTTGCTCTCCATTCAAGAAATTATCTTGAAAATACAAGAATCATGCAAATGCTGCTAAGCAGTGAACCTTTTCCCCTTCGTATATATATAAAAACATATGTTTGACCCCCACTTCAAACTGCCCACTCCTAGATAAATGGACTGTTTAACAGAGCCCCACACATGGCTGCCTTTCAAATCCACTGTACAGAACTAGGTTTTGTGGCTATTCATCATATCATATGCCAGGAAAATRTGCTCAATTGCAACACTGCACAGGGAACTATCCTGCAAATACTTTTCTTATGTCTAAGTAATTTTCATTTGACAATCTAATTTGCTCTTATGCTTCACAAACCAAACAGTGCTGGGAACAAGCTTAGTCTATAAAATCACCCAGAAAATCTCCACAGTCTTGTGCTTAAAATGATTATGTATGAGCTAGGCTTGCATATCAAGTAACAAAGGAAATGCCATATGGGAAGGTAGAGGGCTGTTCCACCCTTCTGCTCTAAGATTTGAGTGCAGATTAACTACCCTCAAAGGATTTGCCTAGCAAAYTCAAACCTGAACGTTTCCGAGTTTAGAATGGGTTCTTAGCATTTTTTTCCCTTCTTTTCTCTCCAGTAAAACTCTCCTGTGCGAGCGCCCTGGCTCCAAAGCCAGCGGCAGCAGCAGGGAGCGTCTGGCGCCCGAGCTCTCCCTCTCTGCTTTTGCAGTTGACACACCCGCCGTTTCCAATGCTGTGCCATTAACTTGCTGCACTAACACGCTGCAGCTTCCATAACCGAACACTGCACGACACGTTTAGTTACAAAATCTGAAAGGAACATTCACAAACCACGACTCCACTATTCTGCTCCTGTTATTAAAGATATTTTGTTTCACTTTTTTGTTTTAATTGGCTGAAATTCCTTCAGAGACGTTAGTCTGTGGAATACCCTCWCTCCTTTTAAGAAGTTTGCCATTTCTCCTCTTCCTGAGCTCCCTCTCTCAGCAGTTCAGTTCTGGAAGWTTTCCATCCCCATTAACACAACGTCCAGGCCTCTGACAGTTTGCAGAGAAACAGCCCAGGAAAATGATGCATGTTCCCACAAAGTTGAAAAGCTGCAAGAGGAAACCTGAATTTGTGTGTTCATACATGGGACAGGGTAAAGCGAGTGAAACCCTTCCCCCTGCAGCTGTCCTTCGCTGCCCCGCCAGCATTCCTGCCAGCCCCGGGCTGCAAGAGGAAACCTGAATTTGTGTGTTCATACATGGGACAGGGTAAAGCGAGTGAAACCCTTCCCCCTGCAGCTGTCCTTCGCTGCCCCGCCAGCATTCCTGCCAACCCCGGCATTCCTGCCAGCCCCGGCATTCCTGCCAGCCCCGGCGCAGAGCCTCAAGGCGGACAGGGAGGCAGGCGCATGAGAAGCCCTGGAGTCAGCGCCCCCGTTCAGCTTTTAAACACCAACCAGTCGAGGTCTAATAAAATGTTCCCACATTTATGCAGGATTTGTGACTATCTCACTTCAAGATACTTGTTTTTTTCTGAATAATCACGTTACAATGCAAACAATAAAAATGAGGATCCATTTTTGAAATACATTGATGAAATCCCTTTGAGCTACTGAGAAAACTGGGTATGATTCCCTTTCRGAACAGATTTTGGAAGGATTATGTGCCCTATGCTTTACTAGCAGGACACAAGGAATCTTACTTGAGCTTGTTTCCTGCCTCAGTTCTCAGCCCTGCAGCACATCCTTAAAGACAGTGGTGTTGGGAGCAGCTTTGTTTCTTTCTGAGAAGATTTTAAACATTGCACTGCATGGTACATTGCAGTGCCTTCATTGCAGGGATCTGGCCAGTAAAAGTTAGGCCTTCCACAGCCTGCTCTCTGAGGAAAGCTGAAACTACAGCTGTACTCACCGGAACACTCCCTTCTGCCTATAAACAAACTCATTGGGTTCTGGTAGCAGCAGGTTGTTTAGAAAGTCCACAGCAACTGAGTTTTGCCAAAAAGAGATCAGCTGGAGAGGGAAAAAAAAGTGTTTCTGTAGTTCTTGGCCATTCTTCTATCAATGTATCCTTCAAAATCACCTTAGGTGTGTTTCAGTGCAAATCATGCAAGGAATAACATCTTTGTACATAAAGAATGCAGAACTCTTGCTTCCATATGGTTTCCACATAACAAAATAAGCAGGAGAAATATATTTTATTTTGGTTTCACTTCAAAATGAAAGCAAGTGAACAAACAATACTGAGAAACAACAAAACAGCTCCACAAACTCCTGCATTTCCATGGTGGTCCCTGCCCCCCACTTCTCCCTTGCCCTCTCCCAGGATGCATCTGATTTTATCAGAGATACACAGATTTAAGGAAAAAACAGTGAAAGAAGAATGCAAACTACAGTACTTGCCAGTAGTTCCACACCTTTTGATTAGTCAATAAACCCAGTGTTTTTGTGGATGAGCTTTAGGATTGTGATGAATAAAGCATTGATTTCTATGGAGCACTTTAGAATTCTCTGTTGAAAGCTGCTATAGACGCATTACTGTGACTCCCTTTAATGAAGTGTGAGATCCAGAGCATGCTGTTGATTTGTTCCCTGATGTGCAACACATCTTTTCTTTCTTCCCTAGATTTTACTTCAACCTCAGAATCTCATTAATGTGTAAGAAGTTTTTGTGCTTTTGCTTCTCTTCTGGGTTTGTTCTCCGTGTAAATGAGAAACAAACAAACAAATGACATGACAATGAGGAATAAACAAAAATGCAACAGGGGAATGCTCCAGTTAGTTGGAAGGAACCATTGGTGAGTTTTCCATCACTGTAAATAAGGATGGTAAATAGCAGGTTTTCTGCTAATCCACAGGAGAAGTTCACTTTTCAGCAATTACAGCTGCAAAAGAACCAGTCATGTGAAGTGTCTGCAGGCATCTCATCCGCTCCCACCAAGCCAATTTTGCCTCTAAGTTGAGTAGGGTTCACCAGCCTTATACGTTGATCTCTACTGATTAATAGATGCAGTTTGGTGAAACACTGCAACTTTATCACAATAGGACCTCTCAGGAGAATTATGAGAGACATGAAGCCATCTTCAAACAAAATCTTGTAAAAAAAATATACAAGTTTGCCCAGATGGTCTATGGGCAGAGTTAAAGATCACATAGTTTACAGAGCCTGTTATCTATCCTTTATACAGAACATAGAGCAGTAGAAGTGAAAAGGCAGGTAGATACAACATAAGATGATCCTTGCTGCTGCAGACTTTAAGTTGCACTCTTTCTTTTCCACTGAAATGAGTAAACATTTCTGTTTCTCTCAAGATTGATCCAGAGGACTTGGAAATAATGATGTTTAGATCTAGTTCAAAGAAAAATAATCTACCATCTTCAAAAATAACGACTGTTTTTAAAGGATGAATCACTTCCTTTCACCAGGTACTTATTCCATTGTACATAGAACACTATCCCTATGATGGCATTCATAAGAATGAATGCAATTCAAACAATCCCTAAGTTTGTATATAAAAAATCCTGTGCAACATATGTACCGTGAGCTCCGATACTTGTTTATCACAATAACTCAAATCTGATAAGCATATTTATTGTGAGAACCTAGAAGCTTTTTTATTGACTTAAGATTAATTACATGGACCAGGAATCATCTATGCAGAAATGGAATCCAAGAAGGTCAATGCCATGTGAGGAAACAAGTGGGCTATAAAACACACAGATACATGTAAGGGGAAAACAASTCGGGAGAACATGGCAAGAAGACAACGAAGGGTTTTTTATGGAGAAAACCTGCACACAGCACATCCTGGGAAGGAGGCAGAGCTATGTACAATTCTACTCTGCACCTTTTCAGTGTATATACACTGTATTGTAAAAGTTGTATTAAGCATATTTTAATTACACTATCAGCTCATTCAGAATTGCAGAAACCATTAATGAAGATTAAAGAAAATGAATTGCTTTTCCACTAATTAAAACTATGCGATGGTTTGTTAAAATTTTGTAGCTCTAAATCAAAATTCTTTGTTCAATATTTTAACTATCATGAACCTTTGAAAAGACAACATACTATAATCRTGACGACACTGTGAATGGATTTGAAAACATGCTATTATATATCACAGTTACCAAGTCCTGCAATTTAACATCTAGGGACAGTAAAGGCAATCATCATTTTAATGTCACAATACTGTTTTCCCCTAACACTTAACTAATTATCCAGATCTATACTGCAAGGCCCCATGTAGCACACAGATCCATGCATGTAAGTTTGATACAACTGTTGCTGAAACAGAAAGTTTCAGCCTAACCAACTTCTGACAGGCTTCTGGACACCTGCTTGTTGCACATGCATTAGGAGACATGAAGTATTCATTTGCAAATTGTTCAGAAAAGTACAGGCTTCTCTTGTGACTGTAATCAAGTTTGATCAACTGCATTTTAAAGCTCCAAAGTACTCAAAAATTATGATAAGTTCTTTTACCTCTTATTTCTAGCCACAGCTGAAATGCCAAAATACAATGGGAAAGACTGTTCTGGGGTATTTCCATCGGGACTGGAGGTAGACATGTAATAAATCTCACAAAGAAGGTCTGTTCTTTTGAGATTTCCACCGTGGTGTTGCAGAGGTCTGAACAAACCTTCTTTAAGCATTTGAACTTTTGGCTGCTTATCTGAACCATTTGTGGGCTGCCCATCTATGCATATTGCTGAAATGTGGCTTGGCTTAAAGCATCTTCTAAAGGTTTGTTCGTGGAACATGAACACACAGAAGCCCAGTCTCTGGGAAGGACCACTTCCATTCCATGACAGAATTCATCTCTTAAGGGTCTCTGAACAGAAACACATTCCTACAGAGAAAGATTTCTAATCCCAGAAAACAGCGCTCAAAAGGCACAAGAARAAAGCTAACGGTCAAGGCCTGATTTTGTAAAGCTATTGACTGCTCCTATATCCCACAGATTTCTTTTGGAAGTAGTGTGCTGGTCATCATCCCAGAACACCTTATTTAGATATGTTAGGTATAAACTGAATCCTTATAAGATGCAATGTGAACATTTTAGCCTGAATTCGTGTNAATTCGTGTTTTTTTTTTTTTTTTTTTTTTTTTTTTTTTCTGAAGTAAGAAGTTCCTTCCATTCTCTGTGTGAATCAAATTCCAAAAGCATTTCTGGCAGATGTGCTGGTGAATTATGCCAGATACAGTAGCAAGCATTTGGAAATAACTGATTTGTTCACTAAATATCCCAAAGAGGTAACAAAATCCAATTTTTACTTTCTGATCTTAAAAAGTTTGTGGTAAGAAAAAACACCAACATTGTCCATATCATCTGCCTCATTTTTAGATCTCATGTAAAACACATAAATAAGCATTGTGTAGTCATAACCTTCACATTTGCATGCAGAAATTAATATAGAAAATCCTCAGCTACTTTTAGTTATGCAGAGAACAAAATATTGATCTGGGAGAACAAAAAATATGATGCTAAAGCCCTCACTGGAATATATGTACCTTACTTGGGTGAACTGCACCAGCTGACAGTAGCTGAAAAGCTTTTCTAAGAAAGATTATTTTTAATTCCACTTTCTTTTAAAGTGCTTTTTTCTCTCTCACTCGTAAAAATAAAACAGAAAAGATATTGCCACTAGAGCAAGAACTAGTGCAAATGGCAGTGCACTACACACATTCTTTAGCTGGTAACTTTCTGGCAATGCACTTCAAGAACAACAAAAAAACTGAAATAACAACTACACTCTAATTGTGTGAAGATTCTCTTCAATAAAAGCTTTTTGAGTTTTCTGGAAGCTGGGAGTTTTGCAGCTTTCTAATTGCAGCAAAAGTTAGATCATCTTTCTTAAAATTGAGACAAATACTGGTCCTATTTGTGAAAGTCATCCTCTTCTGCATCTAAAACGTTGAATAACTTTTGATGGGGCTATCAAAAATGGTCTAAATAATAAATCTGTAAAGTTATGAAGTCCTACAATTTAAATTGATGAATAAAACTATTCGTCTACCACAACAAAGAAAAAATGGGAGTTAAACCAGGATTTTTAAAGAGACTGAAGGCTCTTTTTGATTGTAGATGAAATCCAATCTGGTCCACAAGAGGGATCAAAATACCATGCAGACTGCAGCTGTATGAAAGTACATACTTACCTATTAAAGAACTTTGAGCCCAATCAAGAAATAATTAAAACATAACCACCTCTTTTTATAGTTTTCATGCTGAGAATCTGACTGTTTAGAATAAAAAGAAAAATATCCATTTTCATAAAGAACAGAAATCTTGAATCAACCTTGTCTGAGCCTGTGGAGTGTTCCTGTCTTCCTGCAGCTGAAAGGCCATAGTTTTATGCATCAAGCTTAAACCTAGACAACAGACCTCAAACTCGCATTACCTTCAAAAAAGCAGCAGCAAGACATTAAAAATCTGTTTTTTTAGACTCAGAGCTAAACAAGGCTCTGAAAAATAAATCTCAACACACTCAATCCTTTTGGAAGTTGAGATTCAGATCCAGTTTTAAATCCAGATGTTTGGTCTTGCACCCAGACTCTTGTCCTTCCTATGGATTCTTGAACCTACCACAAACTCAGGGTGTCTTTGGCATCATTACTTTTTGTTTGTTCTTACCTGTTTTACAGATATTTTTTATATGGTATAATTTTAGAGAGTAAGAGGGATGTACGTATGCATATTTTCTTTTTCTGATGCATCTTGATTTTTTTTAGAGGATTTGGCAGCAATAAAGGTAAGAGAAAGCCTTACCCTGTCACTCCATTCTGTAAGGAACCAGCTCTTTGCACAGGGACCCATATCACAGTTCTCAATATCATTCGGACGCAGCTTCATGTTACACTCCTCATCATCAACAACGTCTCCAAGGTTACTGACACATTTCACATCTCGAGTCCTCTGCCCCACTCCACAGGGTACTGAACACTGTAACAAAATGGAGGTCACATCAGGATTCTGTACAACAATTGCCATGTTTTTTCCCTCRAATTTGGAAACATTCTGCTCATTTATTCCTATTAAGACATGCGCGGGAGCTGCGGAACTACTCTGGAATCACTTGAATAGTTTTACAATCACATTCTTGTCTATAGGGTATTCTACAGTATCCTGCATAGATTCATTTGGGAAACATAAACTCGAACGGTATATTCCACTCAACAGCCATGCTAAAYGAACTGCTGGAATCTGGAGAGTAGGATGCATAAGCAAGAGACATGAAAAGGAACACAATTTTTAACTCCTGTTAAAAGGAAAGGCCTTCTCCTCCTSCTCTGTTTTTTCCAGCCTCAGAGAATGCTGACAGCTATGCATGTCCCATTGTTTGCTTTTGTTCTATACAATCATTCTTTTCTGTTTTCTTTCTGGTTACAAATAGTACATTTTCAGGGTCGCAATCACACAGGTTTTTAAACAAAGACACGTTTCATGCTTTACTAGCACTAGGAGAACATTCTTGTTTTCTTCCAGGGTTCCTACCCCAAACTCGTGGGTCGTGCTTACCGAAGTCCACTCCGTGCGGATCTGCCACTCGCTGCAGATCTTCAGCTGGCAGGTGCTGGTTGTCTCCGGCTTCTCCAGGTGCTGGCAGCGGTACTGCTGAACCGTCAGCGTGCGGTTGGCGTACATTTGGCGACACAAGATCTGCCGATGCTGCATACCAAGACCGCATGTTTTGCTGCACTCCGACCACTCCCCTATATCCCAGCTAATGCAAGGAAATAAAAAAAGGGTCATTTGTTTTGTAAATATTTCTCCAACACACTAATCCTGTAATGCTCTGAAGACAACTCTAATGGTGTGTTCTGAAGCTGGGTCAAAATCTTAAAATAAAACTTAAACCGYTGCCTGTTTAAATTAATTCCTTATGAAGAGACCATTAAATATCTACAATCAGTCTATTTGTAGGGGTTGATACCAACTAGTATGCATACAGATTACTCAATGGCTTCAAAAGGCATTCATTAATATATGCATTAACTTTAATACATGAATCAACTAAATTATACACCAATAACATTTACTGACAATGAAAAAATGAGTCACAAAACTTTAAGAGTACATTAACCACTAAAAATTGCTATTTGTATTTTAAGAATCTGTATTTTGTTATTGTAATGACATGTCTTGAAACTTTAAGATCAGCATTGCATAAACTTTACAGACTTTTTCTGAACACAGTTCAGCAAAGGCTCTAGAACAGCTGAGGAAAGCAGTAGCACCAAAAGCTCCAAATGTCCATAGGCACCATTTCACCATTAAAATGGGAATGGCAAATGCTGAGCAATGAATAAATGCATTTAATTTTACAGATGGGAAAAAAATCTAAGAATATTCTTCTAATTTCAATAAAGACTTTACTGAATTCATTTATTGACTTTTGTATAAATACATTTTCCCATTTTAGTTCCCTTATACAAATAAGGGAAGTATTTGAACTGCACTGTACTACAGTGTGTAATCACACACTACTTCAGAACTCGAGGGAAGTGAGTGAAACCTCTGTATTCTTTTTAGTGAGTTTTTATCTTCATTTACATTCTTGACATTATCCTCTGTGAATAAAGGAAGCTGAATTAACATGAGCTGTTAGAAAAAAATGGAAAAAATGTTTGGTGATAGAAGACCTCTCCATGGAAAGTGCTTCGGGAGGGAGTTCTTCTGAGCAGTCAGACAGTCAGACTGTTACCTGCAGGAACTCCTTGTCAAATGACTCAAATGGCACCATTACCAATTTCTGTGGGGTAGTGACTTGCAACCGCTCAGAGCAGAAGTGCTGAAGAAAGTGATGACAAGAGAGATGGAAAATACAGCTGCTGAGCTGAAGGAAGGGCTCTCTATAATGGCTCCTGGGTTAACATCTCTTTCGTCTAGGTACACAGCTTGGGCAAATGGACATTTTGCTTCTCTTGGAAAGAAGTCTTCTAATATCAGGTGTAGCTACTTTTTTTTTTCTTTTCTTTTTCTTTTTTTCTTTCCCTGCTAACTGTCCCTTTTTTAGACAGACAAGTGCTGAAGTCTGCCACTTGGAAAAAAAATACTCCCAAAGAGAGAACACAGGTATGGTGTGTGCCTTAACAATCACACAAACTTCCCTTTCGTGTTCTCTGAGTGCCATTAATACCTATGAAATTAATACCTACAAAGAAAAGAAGGCCACCAATAGCTAAGGGAGAAAATCCACTGCACTTCATGAGACAACTTCAAAGTACTTCGTAGCTCAAACTAGTTTCCTACTTAAAAGAGCCTCTTTTCATGTGCAAAACTTCCATCATCTTAACTTTGTTATTTCAATCAACTTAAATCACAATGCCTTACAAAGCTGGGCATGGGAAGAGGTTGCAGGCCTCCTCTTCAGGAAAAGGCTTGGTGCTGCTGTCACAGTAGCCCTCAGGAACCTCCTCATGAGTGACTCTGTTGACACAGTGGAAAATGGGGTACTGAGACCCTGAAATGACAAAACAAAAATTAGGTGATGCACTGCAGAAGATCCTACAATATAAACCTGTCATAGCAATAGGATCCAACCCTGATGTAGAAAGAAATAGCTTTATAACAGGATATTTAGACTAAGTTTTTATCCATAATATCGCAATGCAAGGGAAAGTTGAATCATATATTGTTTAAATTATAATATTAAGGGAAATGCTTAGTATACAGAAAGTACAGCAGGGAATTGCAGGAAAGGCTGAGAAAGCATGCTATATTCTGCCTGCATGAAATCTTAATCTTGTAATCAGAGATTATCAAAAGAGTAAGGTGCTAAGGTGTCTACTTACTGAAAGAGTCAATTATTACATATTCAGACAGGAGCATAATCCCCACCCTTCTATTTACTAGGTTGAAAAAGATTTAACTTTGTCATGCACACATAATTCCTTTCTCATTTCTACAGAAGTTGTGCAATCTTTGTTTTAATTCCTTTTAGAAGGTAGGCCCAAGCTCTGCCAACTCTCTATGTGTCATTTTTATATCATACAAAGCAAGAGCAACCCCTGCTCCTGCATGGGCACAGCAAGGACACATGAGTAATGGTTACAATAATAGAAGCCATGGTAATAGAAGTCACTTGATTAAAAAAGAAACAAGGCTCAGCCAAACAGCAGGGCTTCAAGATGCACTCCACGACTGCCAGTTCAACCACTTGATGCTAACCAACACCTTATAAAAATTAGGCTATTTTAGTTGTTTTAGGATGTCTGTCCTACAAAAAAAATCCAAATAAGTTTGGTGGAGAAGCCCTTGCAGTGTAAACATTGACAAGTGGGCAGCTAAAAAACAAAACAAAAGAATCCACAAACTAGAAAATAAACTGTGAACAGAAACACTTAGCTTAGATTCTAAGCAAGTTTATACCACAGAATGCAGTAAACCCAAATGGAATGTTATTTAAAAGACAAGCAGATACTCAGCTTACACTTCCTCCCACAAAGATTTCCTGGAATGCTTTCCTCCTCTTACTACTTGTTCTTCCCAGATTTTGTGTTTGTTGTTTTGTCTTTGAAATGCAGGGATAATGTGTACTTGTTCCGAGAAAAAGATTTGTTTCTAACTAAAACTTAACTGACTGATTTTTACACTAATATACTCCAGAGTTTGAGGACATGTGGCATGCAACCTGAGGACCATCAGAAATGCCTAACGCTCAGTGTCTGCAATTGGGAATAGAAGCAGTTAAAAGGCAAAATCCACCTGCTGCTTAAATCAGGTTTAAGCAAGCACTGCTCAAGCTGGGCTCCACTGCATTCACCCTGTCCTTTCTCAAAACTTCTGTGCATAACTAGGAAAGCTACCACGGTATCTCCTCAATGTACTGCATGTAAAGGGTCTCTAGACCAAGCATTATTAGGACTACAGCCTTTCAGCAAAGTGGGTTTTTTTTTCCCCATGATACTGGTCAGTTATGAGGAAAAAAGCGTATTAATTATCAATGCAGCAACTTCATCTTTCTACCAGATGTAGAACATTTTCTGTTCCTTAGACCAAAAGTAAATGCTTACATGTTTACAAAGGCCTAACTGCACACCTCTGAGCAAAGGCAAAAAGAGGGCACCTTCCCAAACATGGGAATTCTGCATTTCTCCAATTTTGCTACTATCATTTTGACTCAGATTTCAGTAATATTACTGCCAATGGCTACCAAGTCTCTGAAGACATGGCAAAACCATGGCCAAAGGCAAATAAGGTCCAGAGAAATCACTTCCACCCTTCCAGCAGTCCCCTTAGGAAGCCATGGAAAACATGGCCTACCCCGTGGTGTTTGTGCACCTGCATCATATAATTTGAATACACAATTCACCACATATATGATAAAACAGCCCACTGGTTGTTGCTAAAGAACAGTCAGGTGCAATTAAGGAGTGCACACGTATCCAAGTCATCTTAAAGTATTAACCAAAATAATTCTAGTTTACATTTCCTTCTTTTCTCCACAAAAAGGCCCAACTCCCAAGAGCTATCTGGCTTTATCTGCTGTAATGTAGCACCTACTTTTGCAGTGAGTTCTCCAAACAGGACAGATTTCTCAATATATTGTCCAGGATGAAGAAGGAAAAAAGAAATATTGTGTGCTTTGTAAATAATTATTGGAACTCATTACCGTGATACATATAGATGGGAGACCACAATACTACATATACTTTAACCTTCTTGCTGTAGGTCAGCTTTATTCCTAAGAATAAGAAGAGGTATATAAAGAAAATTAAACCTATTCCTTGCCCCCACAAAAACAAATGTTGCATCTTTCTAATCGCCATCTTCTCAAGAGTATATTTCCAAGTTCACTGCACCTGTCCTGCTTTAGAAACATTTTACTTTTATGCAGCAAGGCATATTTTCTGCTGCAAAAAATAGACTGCATTTCCCAAAAGAGTATCTCTACCATCTTTATAAAAGTGAATGCAGTTCACAAGTAATTCAGCATGTTCAGAAGTAATTTGTTTTTGTCTTAGTGGTATCTGTAACTGTAACGTGGATAATTGTCTGGACTTGGACCAAATTTCAACGTGTCCTGTCATTACAGAATGTGATTAATTGGGAAGCAGATGTCAGTGTAGGAGATCTGGTGACTGTCTTCTCAGCTAACTTCCTTCCCTGGCAGGTTTGTATTTCTTAGTTCTGTGATTTTCCAGGTATGGTCACCCTTATGACTACAAAATGGTTTTCTTCCAAATAACTGCTAGTGTCAGGCTTTGTTGAGTCGGTAATCACTGTGAATGTTTTATGGCAGAGATTTGGCTGGCAAGCTTAAAATAACATATGCATCTCCTCTGAATAGGTCACTAATTAGCAGTCTCTTCCCACTCCTCCCCTACAAAACCTTCAGTTTTCTAAAGTTGTGTTATTTTGACACTACAATATTCAACTAGGCAAGGAAACGTCTGATGGAATCCCTGTGACACCTGCTTGTAAAGAAAAAAAAGGCACCTGACAAAGCTGAGAGGCTCAAAGAAAGGATAGAAAATGTCAAGAGTGTTGGGAAAAGTAGCTATGTGCCAGGAAAGTGAGAGAGAGCAGCTTGCCACATATTCTCTTCTACTTTAATTAATGTAAATGCTTTGCACTTCTTATTTTCATTGTTTGTGGTGATAGAACACCTACTACTACAGACAGGACTTTTCTTTGTAAAAAAGCACTGGGTCTAGATATGTTCTGCATATATAAGAGCTGCTTGAGTATCCACAGTGCTTCTTCCCTTCATGCTTCTTCCCTCCCAGGAATAAAACCTCCCATGTCATCTATTTTCTGTGCACGCTGAATGAAGCACTTACCTTTCCCACATGTAGTGGTGCACTCAGTTTTCCCAATCTGTTTCCAGTTGTGTTCCCGGTTTTGTCTTGGTGGCTGCACAGCAGGCACCTGGTTTTCTGGCTGATGAGAAGAAAATCTTCCTGGCTGAATAACTGGAAAACTTCCAGTTGACTGTCCAGTGCGAGTGTCTGTCTCCCTATGCAAATCCTCATCCTCGTGATTTGTACCTTCTGGAATTTCTAACTGACCATTCAAGGGCTCCCCTGATGATGGACAACAACAAAAAATTAAAATAATGAGCCTCACTTGCAAATATTAGTCTATGTTTTCAACTAATAGCCACGACACTAGAGTATTATTAAATTTTAATCTTAACCATCTTTAAACTGCTATTCACAGACTTCCTAGTACTGCTCTATGAAGACCCTGTTATTTTAGATTAAGACAACCAAGACTCAGCCAGCAAATACATTAAAAACTGAACAGTCTCCAACCATGCAACATGCAGTAGTTACTGCACCCAGTGTCCACATTTCCCAAAGCCTGTCTTTGTACCACGCTCTGCAGTCTGTGCTCACATGTCGCAGGACAGCTGTTCCTCATTACTAAACAGACTGCAAACACACTCCAAAATTTGTCAAGGCAAGTGGTGAACATTAGAAGTCAGACCCAAGTCACTTGCCAATTTTCTGCTTCCCTTCCGAACCTGACGCTAGTGCACACAGCCCGTCTCCACGCACGGAGCTAGGAGCACCAGCAGCCCACGTTCTAGCTCGGGAAGGTAACAGTTTTATCCTTCATCCTCTCCAGGTGGGAGAGGAAACAAGAAACYGGGAAGGGTTGTTTTAAAGTATCTCTAAACATTAAGAAAAAAACTCTTACTATTTAATTTCTGAGATATGGCTACAACATTCCAGCTCAAGCAAAAGCTACGCTTAATATTTTAAGTAAAAAATCACTAGTGAAATATGAAATATGTGTAGAAATATGTGACCAGCTTCACTTCCTCATAGGCCAGTATAAGTCTGCTGAATTTACCAGATCTAAGCAGACTTCTCTTTGAAGTTTGGTGAAATTCCCTGCCTCTCCCAAATCAAAGGCAGCATACAAACACTGAGCCTAATGGAACGAATTTCTCCTTTAACTTATTAGGTAACAGAACGTGCTTAGTAATATGAAATAGTGGCATTTTACCTGGCCTCCTGTGAGCAAGCAACTGAGGACTAATGACATTGTCTCCTGGAATGATATACTCATAATGTATACCTGGATTAGGCTGCTGATGTATCATCTAAAAAGAGAAACAGCCATATATTCACTTCTTCCACTTGTTATATTACTAGTGCTTAAAAACGTACTTTTAATCAACTGCGTAACAGTATTTTTCATTGGAAATGACCAAAATTTTGCTTAATGGCTAACTACAAAAAAAGCAAAAAGGCTATTTGTTTCTGGAAAAAAAAAATCAGGTTAAAATATTTGCAAAATGAACAAGGTTGTGATGGCAGAGAACTTGCTTCTCTAGAGCTCCTGCATGGGCGCAGAACAGGCAAACGCAGCCAGGAGAACTTCACCTTTTGCCACTAGGTGGCAAGAGATTCGCACGGGCAAAGAGGGGAGCACCGGGCACCTTAGAAGACTGTCTAAGTATTTGTGTACGTAAGGAGCCGGAGAGATGCTGCAGGAAAGTCGAGCAAGGAGGAAGCAAAGCGGTGGCAAGGTCACCTCAGAGCCCATACTGCAGATGTGCTTAACTCCCTTGTTCAAGGCTTACTGCTTACACCCRTCTGGGGTGGTGAGCACGTGTGGGTGAAGTCATCTGTACTGCTCATAAACCAAGTGCTTCCTTGTATTGCTGAGCAGCCAACGGTTCCCAACTTGATGGAGGCTTAGAAGCAGCCAGCAGACTTGCTCCCAGCATGGACACTGCACCATGCAACCCTCCTGCAGCCTTTCAAATGGATTTTTAACCCAATTAAGACCTAACGCACAAGCAAACAGATTCCCACTGTGTTGCAGCTAGCCAACTGGTCTTTCTTCAAGTGCTCCTTACAAAATATGGGTGGAAACTTCACATTTCTCGCCTTCACACATGAAAGCCAAGCTGAGGGATTTTAAACCCTTGCTGCACAACCCCTGCCTAAGAAGTCATGAAGGGGCCACTGAAGTTCAGTGCAGCTTCCTATGCGCTTGCTCAAGCAAAATTACATAATAAGATCTGAGCAAGAAGTAACTTGACAAAAGTTCTTTAAAACTGTTTGCAGCACACACACTGTGCCCAAAGCTGCATTATAAATATGAGGATACTAGTGACTACTAACTACCTCAAATGAGCTTGGATGCCCCGAGCACTGCCTCTACTGACAGTGCTGCTTTAAAAGGCAGAGTTGGCCAAATGCCTCCCAGTACAGTGTCATTTCAAATACCTTCCTCTTTTTGGCCAAATTGCTGGCCAAAAAGAAAAAGCCCTGCAACGCCACTAGGTGCATGATCTAGCAAAGCAACTACATTTGCTACAACAGTGAACCCCAGCTACAGATTCGGCCCTGCATTTATCCACATCTCTGAATCACTTTCCCTTGCCAACTGTGATAACTGCCCAACTGTGTCCCATGGACATTATTTACTTCTCTAAGCCACCTGCTAATGCACTGCCTGTAAATCTGTCTGTAAGGGCTCAGGCCCCACAGCCTGCAGTGCCAGGGCCCTCTGCAGGGTGGCTCCACTTTTGAGCCAGTGCACCTAAGTCTTTGAAGCAATGTGCGCTACAAATGAAAATCTTGTTTTTCTTTTAACTTGCTAATTAAAGCCTGTTATAACTTAGAGAGGGTTTTTTTTTTCTCTCCTTCTGATTACTTTGAGACTGAAAGACAGACAACATGATCTGAGGGAAAAAAGACAGAAAGGCATTTGGAGCTACTATCAGCACATCTCTTCATTTTTCCACAGAGAGTGTAAAGATGGAGAGTATGGATCAAAAGAGAGTTGTTGCACAACTCAGGAGCTATGAGATAAACCATAGAAAAGGGGGGGTTGTATCGGTGCAGCTAGAAACTCCAAACCCACATGGGAAAGGTTGTGYCATGCTGATGCTTGATTCCCTTTCATCTAGCACTCTGCAGTTTTCATCCTCCTGTACTGTTCTGAAAAAGCTACTGAGCTGTCAGCTCATCAGGAGCTCTGTTCCTCACGGCTAACAAGAAACAGCTCAGTCAGGAGAGCAGTCTACCTACAGTAGCAGTCAAAGAGCAAATGCTGACACTATGCCCATCAATCACATCAGCTTGGTGGCATTCATTGTAGAAGAGGTGAGAAAAAGTATACCTAAGTAAGCTAGTGTAATAGCAAAAAAATCTAAATCAGTTAAAATAAATTTCTCCTTTTCTTATTTTTTAAGGATACTTATTTGGAAATATCTGTTTTATTTACTTCCTGATCCTTTCCTCTCTGGGTACAGCGGTCATTGTGTATTAGGCATCTGTGTGCTGACAAGAAAAACACCTCAGCTCACACCGTCAAATCACTTTACATAATAGCACACGGATAAACTTTAAAAACCATGGAGCTTGTCCTGTGGAATCTAGGAACCTTTTTAGCTAATCTCACAGGCTTTCCAGTCTCACACTGCAGTCAATCAGAAATTATTCAAATAGAAATAATGTCTGTGCAATTATTGTGCTGCTTTAATAAAACATCATATAGAAACAACGGGGGAGTAACTTTGCCAGCATCTAACTCTTCCCAGCTTCCCTGAGGAATCAGGGTTGTTACTGTTTGTTTTCCTACGGAACAACATGTTCATTTTTTTACCACTTGTTGCACTAACAGGCAGCAAAACTGGCTGGATAAAATAACTGGTATCACTATTCCATATGGCTTTTACAACCAATACGGTTTAGCACATGGAAGTGAATAACCTCAGAACACATAATTTATCTTCTAATAAGTTATAATCAGTACCAGTTATACTCAAAATTTAATATGATGCAGTAAAACCTGTCCCAACTAAGTAAATAGTTTTTTCACCATCTTCYATGTGGAATTGCCCCTCCAGAACTGCCCTCTCCTAGGCAATTTTTCTACCCTCTTCCTTTCTCAAATGACTGTTTTTCTATGATTTTCTAGTACAGCTTGTTGTTCAAATTGCCCTGATCTCACACTTTTTTTTTTCACTTGTATTTCTTTCAAAGAAAACTGAGATGGTATCGCTCTGTGAGAGGTCTTGTTTGATCTAGTTATTTCCTTCAGTTCACTGTAAAATAAAACTATGCCAACCATGCCTGAATAGGAAACTATCTGGAAGAAATCCATTTCACAAAAAATATAGGTATCTGTATGTTCTACCTCTGATTTTACTGAACAGGCAAAGTCAGTTTTACTGGGTCTATAAAGTTGGAAAGCAAAAGGCATCTTGCCTTTTAGACTTTCTATGATCTAGAGCAAGCTGGGAGTAACACAAAGTAACAGTAAAATATCAAAAATGCTCTTTCACGATTAAGGAAACAAAATATTAATGTCTTGTTACTGAAAGTGATTTTACTGTTGCATGTTAATAGTAACTGGAACAAATATTTTCCATCAGGAAATTACATCTAAATGGAAGAAACTTACGTAGACATCAAGGACTTCATTTGTTGGGCCATCAGCTAAAAACGACTCTCCCGCRGTGCTGGAGATCTCATTGGGGCGCTTATAGGTGAACATGGTCCCGCCGCCTTCGTACCTCCCAGGCCGATCGATTGCCCAGTTTCCATTGATGATGGACCGTCCTGACCGACTCCGCAGGGCTGGTGAGCATGGAAACAGAAACATAAGCACTTTGATCAGAAGGAATCATCTTCACATACTGGTGTTCAGTCAGATTCATGTATGTGCGTTGCACTGTCCTGTGTKCTCCAGGGTAGAGCTGTGTGACTGTTAAAAACTATAATAACAGTTACGCAGGAAAAAAGCAAGAGCATAAACTTTGGCTCAACACTGCTTATATTTATGATGCAAGAAAAGAAGAAAAATCAAAGATAAACTAGACGCTTTTTCAGCAGCTTCTCCCAGGATGCCAGGCAGTGCTCTCAGCCAGCCAGACTAGGGCCCTGGATCCCAAGAAAGTGGTGTACTCCCCATTGAAGCAACTCTTTATTCAGTAGTTTAGAGATAAATTAAAACACCAATGCAGATCACTACATTATACCGTAGGCAAGCACCAATCAGTTTACTGATAAGTCCAGTTTACTGGACTCATCCAGGGTTGTCAAATATTCTGGCTGTTCTCCACAAAGTCACTTGGCTGCTGTCTCTTTGTCAGACTGCTTTTCTTTTTGACAGAACATCTGCAAAGTCCAGATCTGCAGGCCTGTTTGGAATGAGAAGCTAGTCGAAAATGTCAGTAAGGCAAGTGATTTTGCTAATTGGATACTAGATAAGGAAATATAAAATCTGGATTYAATATGCAGTGCATCCACCTTGTAACTATGGGCAAGTTCCTCACTTGCTAGGGTTCCTTTGCTCACTCTTGCTTTGACTTCCTTCATCGTCTACGTGACTACAATTTTAAGTCCTTAAGTCAGAAACTCCTGCCATATGCACAATTTCATGGAATAYAACTGTTATGTGGTTTTTAAAATACAGTAATATCTTGCGGCCAAAACCATGTTAGACACTGTATATGTACATAAGTATAAGTAAGGAAAGAGATGATCCCTTCCCCAAAGGGTCTATTTGCAGAATCTTCTATTTACTTATATGTAAAGTTGTTTTTTTTTTAATATAGACTTACAACAAAACAAGCAAATCCAATCAAACTCTTGGCTGTAGGCTCTATACTGCTTGGCTGTTTTTTTTAATGTAAATTCAAGGTACTGGCTCTCATACTATATAGCTTCAGGGCTGACCCAGTTACTTCAGAGACTGCTTGTTCTGTCACAACAGTTTAGTAGTCAGGAGTCTTGCTGGAGAATTTTCTGCCTTTTTGTATTCCTGAAAAATATTTGCCATAATCTTACTTAAATAAAAAGTCAAAATGGCCCCCACTCACAGGATCATGGAGTCACACATGCTGAAATTTTATGGTGCTTAACACAAGATGTTTTTCTTTCCAAGAGCTGTGTTACATCCATTTGCCTTCCACATGACGTTAATGATACTCTGTATCAGGGACACTACCTGACAAATATTTTATACAGATCTGGATTTAGCAGCCATAAAAATGGCATTCTCATTCTTCATACAGTGCTGGGAGGTAAAGTTAGGGCTCACATGCTATTGAATACAGATTGCACATGAAATTCATCTACACTGTTTACATGCTATTTATACTTACTAGCTACATTTTAATTCAAACACCAGCAGAATGAAGAGCTCTGCAAAGTCTGCAGGATACTAGCTTTATATTGGGTTTTCACTTGGAAAATTTCCATTAAGAGCTTATGATCTGAATATTTTTTCTTATACTGCTGTTAAATAAAGAATTATCAAGAACTCAGAAAAGTGAGAGCTGGCTAAGATTAAATTGTTGTTAATAATGAAGCTGTAGAAAGATGGCTGTCTGGGAGTCTGCGAGTCCATTAAATTTTCATTTGAAATCCATCATATGTCAAGTCCGAAAGAGGCCTCCCCATGAAAAAGGGAAAAGGTGCCTCTTTCAGGCTTTGATCACCCTGCAGTTACTACCTCAGCTCTGTCCCCTTCAGAATTTTTATGATGGCAGTATTTTTAGTCAAAGCATGAAAATGTATGAAAAGTTTTACCCCCAATACCTCATTAAGGTATGGTCTGCAGCTGATTCCTTCTGAGGACCTTCTACCTAAATATGTGCTGTTTACAGTGTCTTTCAGGAATGCTTTGCACAGTATGTATGGAATGTCTCAGACTAGAGACTCTCATCAATACTTCTGCTCAGGCTACAATTTAATGAGAAAATCTCCATGTGTTATGAATTGAGACTAGTTCAAGTATCTTCAGAATATTCATTTTTCACAGTTCAGCCTGCAGCACTCCTTTAAAGGATGCTTTGCAGATCCCCTCTTCCTGCCTAAAGATTCCACACAGATTCCTCTGCAAATTGAGGGAAAAAAAAAAAGACAATAAAAATGATTTAAATGATACACAGCTGATGTGGTGGTACTGGAAAGGGAAGTTCTGGATACAATACACTTGCATCAGGAGTTGATGTTTGATAGTTTTCAAGCGGAGCTTCTAGCATCCTTATTTAAACCACATGGTTGGGATCAGAAAATTAAACATCAATTTCTCCAGTTCAGGTAATTCTGTTATTACTGTTCCATTTTATTACATTTTTCAGCCTTGCCAACTTTCTCTATTTGTCCAATTTTCTATTCCTCCTGAAGACAGCACTCAAAAACATGCTAACTTTCCCATGACAGCAGATAATAAAGCTATTATTACAAGTAAGAACTGCCTGATAAATCTTCTGCTCCTCTGGGCAACCTGCTGTTTCCAGAATTATCATCTAATCTTTAATGGCAAAAGGCAACTTTAGTGGCACAGCCACTTGGTTCAATCAAACCAGAAGGTCTTTCTGGCCCTTCTGAATTCTCAAAACAAAATAAATAGCTGGAACTTGGCTATTTAAGAGATGTTCTACCTTCAATCTGGTAAGTACTAACTTGAACAATAAAACAACTCTYTCTCCTGAGCCATGTATGTGGAATTGATTGTCACAAGGAAAGAAAAATTTTATGAGTGAGTCGATAAGTAACTGAGAGCCAGCGAAAGAGTATCACATGTACAGATMCACTGCAGAGGGCTTTCTATGAAAAATTCTAATAAAATTCCAAGTACCATAGAAAGTTTGTATAGTTTTCTACATATTTACTACCTAAGTTAGCAGCAACACTCATTAAACTGACAAAGGAAAATGAYTTCCAACTTCTAGAAGCTGAAAGCTATTTTATATATTTTATTCTATGAAGAGTATTTGATTGCTTTGTATTCTTTTTTACTGTTAAAAAGAAAGAAAATATATGCCACACAAAACACATCTTTTCCAGACACAGTACCCTCCCAAGACAGAAAAGCTCTAATTTGGTACTTGGTAGGTGTTAGTTTCTAGCTAAAGCATATCAATCAAATCAGTATTAAATAACTTTTAGTTATTAATAAATACATTTATTATTAATAAATTCTAGTTGAACAAGAAAAGGTGATGAATACCAGTAAAAATCTTTGTATCTAACTGACTCTGCTCTTTTTGCACCTAAAAGCAGACAGAGTCAGAGTAAAGGTTATCAGAGGTCTGCAATGCCTAGTTAATCAATATGCAGAATTCTGGCAGAATTAAATAAGAAACTAAGACAATAAAGTTATACTGAAATGTTACCTCTTCTTGGTCACCTTTTGCAAACAAGCTATGTTAATGTAAGTGCTAGTGAAACTACAGCTAGTCTATCTGATCTACAAGGAACTATAGTGACTCACAGGCGCATTTTCAATGACGGGCAATGGGAACAGTGGACAATCAACTGAAAATCAGGTTCTTTTTATCCTATGTACAAGGTAAATTAAAATTTCCATTTATTCATCCTTATGTTCCTCACACAGAGGTTTTGATATGTCATCTATTCACGTGTACAGATCAAGTCTATACAACATCACATGCAGCTTATGGCAAATGAAGTATCTTGGGTCTGGTGCTGCAAGTGCCTAGGACAGATGCTATAGGTTCTGTCTGACCCAAGAATGAATCTCGGTGTGGTGCAGAAAACCCAAACTACCCCGAGCTGAAGAGCAGTTTGCTATTTTTTGTAACCTATTTTTCTAACTACTTCCTATCTGAAGAGCTGGAAAGAAGTTTATTATGATAGCACCTAGCTATCCTACAATATGTTTTTCACCTAAATTAAGARTGTATAGACACAATACCAACAACACAATCTATTCAAAAATTATTTCCCATCTCAAGCAAACTTTATCAAACCTGGCAGCGGCACTAATAATCTACAGTAATCTAGTTATTTTCTATCCTAAGGCCTTTATGGTCTGGGAGAACAGTGTCTCTAAGTCCTACTTAATTGCTTTAGAAACCACATAAAGCTTTCAGACAGACAGAATCAAAGTTATTTCCTGTATATTGAAATGATTATAAAGTATCTCTCATTTGGTCAGGACTCAAACAAAGAAAAGTAGAGAAACAATAAAGAAAATACAGATAAGCAACAGCAATGGGAATAGTGTGCTCCAGTGAGTTATTAAATGAACATGCAAGATGGTAATGTGAATTAATTATAAGTTATAAAACCTTCTCTACAAATCTTCTTAAAAACAACTTCAGAGACATGATTTTTTCCCCTTATTAAGTATCACAAAATGTAGCTTGCCTTAATGCTCCCTGGGACTTGAAACATGGAATATATGGCACATTTAAGGTCATTAAAAAAACATAGTATAGTGACTGCGATCTGGAAATAACCTAAGTTCTAGCACACACATTCTGGGATACTTAAAGCATATTATGATGCAGGAGAAAAAAAAAAAAAAAAAAAAAAAAAGAAGGAGAAAGACAAACACCTAGAGTCTCAATAATCTATTGGTATTGAAATAATGAAATAGGCATTTGCATTTGTACAAATCGATTCTCCTGAAATAACTGCTTTCAAAAAGTACAAATATTTGCTGATTATTGAAACATACTTAATTATCTTAATTATAGAATATCTGGGGAAAAATTAGCACACTTGTCCCATTATGAACTATGCATTATTTGCATCTAACCTTTCAATTTTAAACTCCTATTGAGGTCATGGCAAAGCTCAGAGCTTAATTCAAGAAATAT